AAGTACAGATATGTCATTCCCTGAATAAAAAATAAACTAATATTTCTGCTATACAACCATAGCTGCAAGGTTTTTAGAGGCAGGTAAGAATAAATCATTTTTTATGTGCCATCCAAGGTCTTTTATCATATTCTCTGGCTGATCTTTTCTTTGGATTAAGAAGCATTTTTGCTCATAAGTTCTGTTAACCATTCCAAATATAGTCTTTACTTTCCTAATCAAGAAATATGATTTGTGAAATTTCTATGTGCCTTTTTTAAATTTTTTTTTTAAATTTGGTTGTTTTTTTTTAAATTCACACAGGAACTAAAACCACACACAGTGATATATATTATCTTCTGTAACGTCACTTCCTGTTTGAAAGCATTCACCTTACTCTTATATAACTGCACAGCAACCAATATTTCACATTCCCTCAAACTGTACTATTACCTTTTCAGAAAGTTATAAGGATGAGGAAAACCATTGTGTCACAAAGAAAACTACTCCAGTGTTGTAGGTCTCATATGTGAAAGCTTAGATATGGCTGTGCCACAGATTTCCTCAGCTATCTGGAACATGTTGATGGAGACAGTATTGTATTTATAAGTTTCCACTGAGCAACTTGCAGCTATTTCAGCCTTAGAATACGGAGCTGATCACTACATTTTACTGGCAGTTATGATTTCCCCATCCCAAACTGCTAGGGAAAAGAAAAAAACCTGCCTTTTTTGAACTGTGCCAAAAGAAACTTTCATAGAAAATTACCCTCTCAGTAAAAGCAACTTGAATACACTTACACATTTCTCCTGAATGAGCACAAAAGATGTGTCAGACCTTGTGAGAAAGGTAACTGTTCCTTCACTCTCTCCAAACATTCACCACTTTATCTGCTTTGACCTTTTCTAAATGAAGAGGTGCTTTTCATTTACATTAAGTCTAAAGTAATGATTCTCTACTTTTTAATGTATTTTTCAATTGAAGCGTTAGTACAACAGGCAAAAGGACTGCATGTGTAGCCAGGTAGAATGCTTTCAATCCGTGCTTGTATCATTTACACTATCTTATGCTGCCATAAGAGGCTCTGTAGAAGCCATCTCAAATGCATGAATTCAAATAAAGGGAGAAAGTCTAGGATGAGAAAGACAATGTTTAATCATGAAGAATGCATTCTATTTTCTAGATATGTTTTAATTCTATGTTACAGAGTGAAATATTGTAGTAGAAAACTGTTAGGCATTGTGTCAAGAGAGAGAGAACAGCATGTTTCATGAAGAATGCAATAAGGAATGTTTACAAGAAGAAAATAATATGTCAAAGTGAAATACTTTCCTTTTTTTCTTTTCAAAGTGATACTTATTTTAAATAATTTTATTTTTGTAGTGACATTAGCTGCTGAAAGGAAGAAATAGGACTGTTAATCAGCAAGAGCTTGAAGCAAAATTTTAATGCTCATAACAAATGATATTAGAGAAAACTGAAAATCTCTGTGATCCAGCAATAATGCTATACATTTAAGTGTTATATACATACTTTAAAAGGACAGAAAACCGTAATTTGTCAGAGTACTTTCACTATTAAAATGCAAATTGTGCAGTGACAACATATTTAACAGCTCTTATTGTTTCTTATTCTTTAGGAGAGAACTGATTACGTTTATTCTGCTGAGGGGAGCTTTTCCAAATCACTGTCTATGATTTTCCTTAACAACAGAACTAAGTAAAACATGGTAGAAGTATCTTATAAAATCTAATAATAGTCTCACATTGTAATTTGTGAATCAGGTTAGATAGTCTCTCCCCATTTATTGGTATTATTATTGTTATGATAAAATTTTTCTTTCTAAATTATTATACAGCAGTCTAAAATTGTGCAGAAATGTAAACCATAGTTCCATTTTTATGGTAATATTTTAATTGTCCTCAGGATTTTACACTTGGCTAATTGCAGAGAAAAAAAAAACCATAAGCAAGCTAAAAGGCAATGTGCAAAGTTGGATCAGCAAGGTGAAAATGTATTTACCACAAGTGTCTTTGAATCCGGTTCACAGAAAACATGGAACTTTTTTTTTGCTTAATCAAGTATAGTACCTCCAATTTAAATTTCATTAACTCCTCCAAACTTCCAGGGACAGTTGGTCCAAGAAGAAGCAGAAAGTAAACAACTGAAAGAGAGCTAGTCCAAGTTATTTCAATTTCAATCGCTTGATTTTCTACAAATAAACATTACAGCTCTTTAAACACTATTAATTAAGACTAGGATGTGATCTGCATTTCATATTTGAATTTGTAAACAGCTACATGCATTTTCTAAGTTTACAAACATTGCAGAAATTCTATAAGGCTCTGGAGCAGACTGGAGACTTTGACTGCTTATTCATGCAGGTAGATGAAATGTAGTATTTGGGCAACACTGTTGCAATTTTCCCCTTGTTGTCAGGAATAAGAGCAGAGAACCACCATACCCCAGAAAATCCTCCCTCAGAGAAAGAAAATTAATAAAACAATAAACCTCCAGACAAATTCAATAGAAAGTTTGAGAAAATTAACAAAAACATTGAATATACATTATTATGAATTTTATATGAAAATGACACAGCCACAAACAGAATGTGTAAAGTGCAAAGTGTACCCCTGGGCTGCCCTATTTCATACTCTCTTGATGGTTTAGAAAGCAATCAATCACAAAGAGAGTCCCCTATTCACCCACCTTGTGTAAAATTGCATTCGCATTGTCTGCAACTGGCAATTTGCTCTCTTTTGCCTCATGGGAACTCAAGCACCTTGACTCCTAGATAGACAACAACCCTCATTCAGGCTTGGAAGGAAAAATGATGGGTTTCTCCTATTTATTATTTTCTTCTACTCCCTGACTCCTTTTCTTTTGCTTCATTATTTACAGCTTCTTTAGCACCAAAGTCATCCAACTAAAGAGTATTTTCTAATCTACAAAATAAAAAAAGATATTGCTGAGAGAGATTTATAATTTCTACTTGTTTTAGGGAATTATTCATTCTATAAAAATTAAAGCATGCTTTCATGTCCCTGTTATTACCATTAAGATGCAATCTTAACATGCAGTTAAATATAACCCTTTGAAATATTTTTATTTTTCCAATAAATATTACCTGCAACAGTTTTAACAGTAATGACAACTCAATTCAGTTTTTATTTTTCCCTGTTTCTTTTTTTTCTATAACTATACCATCAGTCATTTTGCATGGAGATTGTTCCATGAAGCCACTAAAATTTTCTATCTTTCACTATTCAACTAAACCATTTTGTAGAACTGTGAAAAAAGGCAATTTATGCCAAATATTTACAACTCAGTGAACTTTTATAGGGAAGCATTTTTAGGAATATATCAAACCAAATTTTAAAAGAGAAAACTGAAAGAATATAGTATATTAATTTATAGTAAGGTTACTGTTCTCAGTCTAGATAGTGTTAATTCTTTGTCCATCTAGATTAGTATCGGTTCGTTGAGTTGGCTACCATTTCTTTAGTTTGTTTTACTTTGTGGGTTTGGGTTGTTGTGTTGGTGCTTTTTCAACAGTGAAATTACATTCTTGACTGAGATTCTGAGCTTTACAAAATGTTCTTTTTTTCTGAGCCCTCCCATCACCATCAGGAACTGCTATCCACTGCTTCTATGTAATGGGCTTAATCTGCAGGAAAAGAAGCTGTGAGAGCACAGAACAAGGAAAGCACTCAAAACTGTGAAAGTCATGTGGGAAGGAGATTACCACCATAGCATTTGATAAAAGACTTACAAAGTAGCACTAGTAAGGATGCTATATAAGAGCAAACCAAAGAAATAGAAGTGTCCAGTATTAATCCTTCATTATAAAACCTGCCCAGATATCTAAATTTTAATTCTATGATACACGTCCCAGAATATGTTTCCAATAAGGAGGAGAATTTCAGTGCTAGTGTGTACAAAGCTACCACCATGAAATCAGGGTTACTTTAGCTAGGAGCTAAAATAAATTTAAATCACTTAACTAACTACATTTTATTAATAAAATATGGCCTCCCAGTAATTCAAATCAAGACTTGTCCAATGAGTAAAAGGTATGCTAATGTGATTTTAAAGCAATTGAAGAATTAAATAGAAACACATCAATGAAAATACATCAAGTATCCATCAAGAAACATACAGTGTTTAAGTGCATAGTAGACAACTACACACGCTCACTTGGTGGTCTTTGGTCAATCTACATGTCAGTGTTCCCAAGCATATCTCTGTGCTTGCCTTAAGGAAAAAAACTGGCTCCAACAGAGCCCTTTGGAAGGGCCACTTATGTCACCAGGAGCTGCTGAATGTCTTCAGGGACAGAAAAATTGCTTCCATCGCAATCATGTTCTTTTTGGGTGGCTAAAATATAATTTGGAATGTTTTCCTACTCTCCATACTGGAAATAGCACTCTTAGCATTTCATTGCCCCACAAATACATGTTTTGTAACTATCACTCCGGCATAAATGCTACAATATTAGTCCCTTTAATACCTTACTAACTGATTTCAGCTTTTTGAACAGACATACCTCCGTAAGTTTTTTATGCCTTTGATGTTATTTTTCAGCTTGATAACCTCATTTACTTTGGTATTGTTCGATTTCCGTTGATTTACTTATATTTTTCTAATAACTTCATATCACATTCAGTGAAGCTGCTAAGCCTGTTTCCTGTCTATTTTTTTTGTCTACAGTAAAATTCACTTTTATCCATCCATTTGCTGTATTTTCTCATCCTCTCATCTTTCTCAACAAGCACAATACCATTTTTACCTGTGTGTGCTTTCTGTGCACAAACTGAAATAATCCATAATTCGGTTTGAAAACAAAGACATAAATAAAACACATTAGGAGAAAGTCACTTGCTGCTGTGTTCATCCTAGTTGTTGATTTGAGTTTGCCTTTATATCTTATCCCTAAAAATTCTTTGTTTTTTCTCTCTGGCTCCCTGCTACTTCTTGTTAGAGAATTAAGGAAAATCCTGTGTACTTTTTCTTACCTTTTGAAGAAAGATTTATACTTTGAACTCCTGACCTCTGAAGAGAAAAATCTCCATCTTCTTCTTTATTTCTTTTCAAATTTTCAGGAATATCCTACTCCAAGTCATCCCCAGTTAGGTGTTATAGCTGGATAATCTTTTGGTATTCAACATTGCACCTCCTCTCTGGAAATAAAGAAACCTTTATAATCTTGCTAATTAAAATTTATCACATTAACAACCTAAAAAATTACCATGACATAATTCTCCAATTGTCTGGTTTATTGTTTTACTGTAACAAAACTACTTTGACCATTTTTTCATTTTGCAAAGGTTAGATTAGGTTATTATTTTCTTCCTGATAAGTTGTGGGAAGTACTATTAATTGCCACCACAACATCATTGCTCTGTTAGGTGCAGTACAGGGAAAGACTGAACCTGCTTGTATTCTTCTCTTGTTTCTCTGTTCTTAGAATAATTTATCCCCAATCAAATGACTGTATTTTCACTCAAATAAAACTTTCTTCCTGAATGACTTCTGCCATTGAAATATCCTTACTTCCAAATTTATAGTTGGGAGTAAACACATATAAATAGCTTTATTCAATCAAGTCAATTATCTTAATTTCTTGATCAGACTTTATGCCTTAGATTACAATATCAAGCAGAGTTGTAATAAAGACAAATTCCTCTGAATTTTGCTTAAGATCCTGATTCGTCATTAATGAGAACTGGGGTAAAAATGTAATTTAAGAAGTAATTAATTTTATTCTCTTTAAAAAGAACTTAATGAACAGAGAAGTAAACAATCTTAGCTATTAGAATAGTGCTGCTAAAGCAGAGAGGTTGAGAACCTGTAGGAGATGGAGATAAAACTTTCTGCAATAGTAGTGGAAATCAAAAACAGAAAAAAAGGGCAAGCAACAGGATAAATCATGTATAGTATGATCTACCTTTTCTCCCACTTGTTTGAGCTTAATATTTTACATACCTTCACCATAACATCTCAGGACAACTACTGTAATAAGACTTCAACTGAAACTAAGTCAAGTGGAATTTGAAATTTCAAAAACTTCCAATTTCTCCCAGTAGACTAAGAGCCAAGGAGAGACAAAATTTTAAGTTACATAACTGAAAAAGAGAGGGAGAGAAAGCATATTCAGCAATCTCTATGGTAAAGGCTGTTGAGACGTGCAATAATTACAGAGCAGGTAAGTGGTTCCCTTTGCTGGGAAAGACGAATGTTCTAAACCTAAAAATAAAATAAAATAAAATAAAAGTTGTCAAAGTAGAGCTAAGTTTCTATAATGGTTTTCCTAAGAGAACAAGAAATACATGCTGTGCACCAAGGTAATAGGTATAAGGTTATACCTTGGGCACACAGAATAAAAATAGCTGCAGCTACAGTTACAATAGCTGAATTACCAATTTTAAATGCTTAATTTTAAAATGTTTTGTGAACTTTTTCTTATTCTACTCTGACTAATGGACTTTCTAATTTAAATGTGCTTTTTATTAAAAAATAATGAAAGGAGGGACTTAATAGAGAAAATTGGTAGCATAGAGGTGAGTCTATTAACAGCAACCTGAACTGAAAAAAAAAAAAATAAATCAACTGATCTTAAAAAAAGATTTTAAAATTGTCAGAAATCTGTCCTGGATACGGGAAACCTACTACTTTTATTTTGGTGAAGTCTGGCAGCATTTATGACTGTTGTCTCAATTTAAGATTAAGTCTAAGTTTCAATCTAAGAATCTTGTTTTTCTATAGGTTCCATTACATTAAAACCAAATTATCACTCTATGATGTTGAAAACCTATTTAACTCTAAGTATATGGAGTTTCCTCTGCAGTTTTAAAGTAAACTACTGGGCCAGTATTGAACCTTGCGGGACACCACTGGTGGGAGGCCTCCAAGCAAGCCCTGAGACACTGATTAGGACCCACTGGGACCTGCTGTTCAGCCAGTTCCCAATTTCAATTTTTTAGGGTTGTGTGAGCACCGTACACTTTCATGTCCTTGAAGGCTTAGAGATATTTGGTCGCACCTCTTATCTCCACATTCCCAATTAACCAATGTTGTTGTGGTTACCTTGTGATATCTTCCATCAAAATCAGATATTGAATTTAATTCCATGGAAGTGTTCCGGGCATTGCTTTTTTTCCCAGAAAAATGTTTTTTGTTTCTATTATTTTTTTGCTCTTTAAACTACAGAAACATTGCATAAGCAATTATAAGCATTTTATAGAAACTGTAAAGACCTAAAGCACACCTAAGTTCTTTTCACATGAACATTGTGACAATTTTCCTTTATACTTTTTTTTTTTTTTTTTTTTTTTTTTTTTTTTTTTTTTTTTTTTTTTTTTTTTTTTTTTTTTTTTTTTTTTTAATTTTGCCAGAGAACATAAACACCTCTGTTATTCTGGTACTGACTGTTTTTTAAATTGCATCCACTACAGCAGTAAAATGATTTAAACTCAGATCTATTGAGCGGAAAATGTGTTGTGGATTTTTTTTTTTTTTAAGTAAATCCCAGAGTGTGAAAAATGGAAAGAAAAACTTGAAATGATTGCTTATCTCAAAAATGCTTCCTTCCTTAGTTCACTAGTCCTCTGCTGCCTCCAGATCCACTTTGAGTCCCATTGGGGTTTTGGGCTCATAGGCTGAAGTGAATTTCTGAAGTTATGCTTGTTTGTCACATAGGTTGGATTTTTATCTCAGTTATAAGGAATGTGATTACTTTTAGAGAGGGAAAAAACCCCACCTTTTTACAGAATTTGAGTACAACAACCCATGACAGAGTGAAGGGATCAGAGCTTTTGCTTTGGTGGATGTTCCTACATTCTCACATTTTAGAGCAAGTGCATCAACTGGTGAACACTTCTAGTGAAGACCGAATGGAATAAAGATGCATATGTTGAGGACATAAATGTAGAAATAAAGTCCTCCCCTTTATATTGCAAGGGTCAGAGTTTTAAGAAAATAGTAAACTGATTTAAAGTCTTGAGTTAGTGCACTCTCACTCCAGTGCTCCTTGCTATTTGTGGTCATATAAATTCACCTGACAAAAATCAGGATCCAAAATCATCTTGTGCCGAAAAGTAATTCAATATGCAACTTAAAGAAAAAATAGTTGTATAAAAGGATTTGAAACAGAAAATATACAAGATGAAAATAGAAGTTCTATTCTTTTATGTGCAGATTTGGGATGCTAGGAACCAAGGTTATGAGAGGGAAAAAAACCACAGAAAACACTATCAGGTATGGATTACTTGTTCAGAAACATGCCTTTGAAAATTCAAAATCCTGTGGTATGACTAATTATTCTGTAGTTCACCATGAAGCATTTTTAGCTACTTTAACAAAGACAGAAAATTGCTGCCTTGTCTACTGAGCACTGCAAGAAGATGAAGGTTATTAAAAGTTTCTGAAATACATAGTTACAGAAATACTTGAAGTTAGCAGTCATTGTTTTTACTATGCTACTTGGATTTCTGGACCAAGATTAACCTTTTATATCCATTACTCCATGACATTAGATGTCTCCCTCCTTGACATTATAAATCTAGAAGCAGCTCATCCTCTCTTTACCTTTAATACTTGTGGTTTTATGAAGACGAATAGGATCATTAGGAGGGAATTTGTAATTTTCATTCACAGACTACCACAGTTATCATGAAAAGTCTCCTTTAAAAATAAAAAATTCTTTATAGGTCTTCCCTAAATTCCACAAATGTGCAGAGTTAACCCTTCTGCACAATTCAATCCAAAGAATACATCTAAAATTCACAGAAAATCCAAAATGATTTTTCAAAATTTTTTTTTCTTTTAAACTCTCAGCCTGAATCTTGACCTAAGGACCTTTTTCCTTTAAAATGACCTTTAAAAAATATATTGTTTCCAGGAACTGGTATTTCTGTAAAATGATACTGAACCAGGAGATATATATTTATTTATAATGAAATAGAATATTTGTTTTGGAATCTACGACAATTATCCCATCAACTGCATTTATTTAATTATTTTTTAAAATGCAAGTAAATCCATCTTATAAAGAGTAAAAGTACTTGCCTAATCTGAATAAAATGCAAGAAAATCAGTGGAACTGAATAGTATTTGAAGTGAGGCATCTGTGGAAGTTCACATTGCTTGGCTTGTATCAAAATGAGGAAAAAAAAATCTCATTATGGTGATTGTCACGTAATGTAAAACTATCATTAAGTGATGGGATACAAGTTTGAATACGTATGGAATAACATGTAATGAATGTTGCAAGTACTTACTAGTGTTCTGAATATGCCATAACAAGTGATAATTAAGAAAATAAGGTTATTAGGTACAATAAATTTAAAATAAATACTTGATTCTAACCTCTAACAATTATACTCAGAAATCACACTTACAAAGTCTTTAGTGAGAGAAATTTTTTGTGATTCTATTATCAGAAAAATTTTGTGAGTCCTGAAAATATTCTTTGCTAACTTCCTAATATGTACTGTTACTTTTATTTTAAAATTTCTTACACACCAAGAGACACACAAGATTCCCTGTAAAACCTGAATAAATGATCTTTTCACAAGGCCCACTCCATTAGTCATGTATTCTACAATCTTGTAAGAATTGATCCACTATATAGAACTAATATAAATAGCTATTTAACAGGAAGAAGATACTTAGAAAGACTTGTAATAGAACTGGAAATGAACCCCTTTTGTTGAATAGAAGCCAGATAATTCTCTTAGATTTTAATATAAGGTGCAGATTATGACAGTAATTGCATATGTGGCATGGCAGGGATCCTATGCATAATCCTATTATTGTCTTGACAATAAGTCATTAGCAGTTCAAAGAGAATTCAAAAAATGACATTAAGCCAAAATATGAAAGCTACTTTAGAAACTGGAAAAAGAAAGACACATATACTATAGCTAAAATAGAAATTAGAAAGCAATGGCTTAAGACAATAATATACTGTTATTGAAGGAAGGAAATCTTTCCCCGCTTAAAGGCAAGGAAGAGATTAAGAGGACCATGTGAGTAGGAAGACTGACAAGGTCCTAGGAGAGGAGAAAAAAAAAAGTAAAATAAAAGAAAGAAAATAAAATAAACCATGATAGCGCAAAAATATTTAACTTTGAAACAATTTCTTAAGGAAAGCAGAAGAACTTATATAATTTGCAACATTTAGATAATATGCTTCAATGAAAGCACTAGAAAATGCATTGCTTCTGCCCCTTTCCCCTCAAATGCAACTGGAAGCAAGCCAACCTGCTCTTCTTTCTCCAGCAGCTATTATTTTGCACCAGTAAAATATCCCAAGGCCTAGTAATAATATCAGAAACTACTAGGTTGGAGAAATTAGCTGAAAAAAAGGAAAAAGAATAGTATATCATAAGAAAATGTTGTTATTATACCTTAGATACCTATTACACCCATCAACAAGGTTTCAGGCAAGAATAAATCTTTCCAGTATTTCAGACAAACAGATTTCCTATTTTGGTAATTATCAGAAAGTAGTAGAGACTCTGAAAAGAGGGAGAATTCCTACAAAATACTGTTATTTTTGAGCTATTTTCAGCCTGAAGCTTAGAGGGCTAAGCCCAATGAATACATGCTGATTACTTAACTACATTTTGTATCCTTTTGTAAGTAAAGTCTCTACTGGCGTATTTTAATGCAGGTTATTCACTGAAAATCCACCAAAATGAGTTAAAGGTGATTATTCTCACAAACTCCAAAGGACAAAAAGTACACAAGAAGCAGAACTTGGCTTCTCAAGACTATCAAGATGTACCTGCAATCAGCATACCACCAAGAAAACCAACTTGGAGCAGCAGGAACAGGTGTATTTATCAGCAACACAGATTAACTGTTAAATAGAAAACTTCTCATGGATGTTCCCAACTTAGCTGTCATCACTAGCAAATACAGCAGCTGTTTACATAGAAAAGTGATAGCAGGAAAATATTTTTTAGCTGCCTTAGTGGATACAGCAATCAGAGACAGTAGAGTTCACACTGTATGGTGTGTCAAGAATTCCCTGTGTACCAGCTTGCCTAGTGTCAACTGTCACCACACTATTGTTTGAGAACTATTGCCATAGAAAAAAAATGTTCTTCTCCAGTCAAAATTTCTTGTTAGCTTTTGTCTTTTATCACTGATTTTCAATCACATCTCCTGCTACTCTTTCAGTAACATTGTTTTAGTTGAACCACAGTCAGAGCATCAGTGTGATATGACTACTAATTTTAGACCTGTTGCAGTTCCTAAGTTTTTCCCTATTCTAAATTGCCTTATGAAAAAGAATATTTCATATAATTTTATTTATCTTAAATGTTCTTATCTCCCCCACAATACCCTGGCAGTGTTGCCTGTTGTTGCAGAGATGGTCTCTGTTTCCTAAACTTTGGGGTGAAAAAAGTTCTTCGTGATTTGTGAGGTTTGAGTATGCAAAAAATTTGTGACCCTCTGTTACATGATGTTATGTCCCAGGCAACAGTAATGAAGGCAGTTAGGAGATAACAGAGGAATCTAGAGTAAACTTACACAGACACTTGACGTTTTTACATGACTTTTTTGTCACTTGGTTCATTCATCTATGATATTTCACTGTAATTGTCTAATTATTGCTATACTCCTATGTTCTTTTCAATTGCCTCAACTAAAATTGAATTTCCATTTTGTGATCAATTTCTATTTTGACTTAATGTCTTCTTCAACATTTAAAAAACCCCCACAGTTCAGGAGGTATTTGTAAAGCTCCATGTACAACAATAAGGATTTTTCCCTAAGAATGATCACCACTGACAGGAGATAAACTAAACGTATTTTTAAAGTCACACAGAACTAAGATCTTGGTCTTTTAAGTAAGACAGTTCTTTGCAAGTGAAGGAATATGCTGCAAGGTTACGCAGTAACCTCTACTGCATTGTAACTTAGATTAAGACGACATATCAGGAGGTATTCAATTAAAAAAATGTTATCAGCTGTGAGATTTTTTTTTTTCTTAAATAGTAGGAGAGAAATCTCTGGAATCAATAACTATTTTCCAGGTCTCGAAATATATGGTCATATCTTCATACAGCAAAGAACGAAGACCACGAGAAATAGTTATACAGGACTATGTATTTTCATAGACAACAGCAGTATTTGAATGTGCTGAAGTTGGAGGATGATGAATTCCAGAGTTCTAGAATTAAGGACTTGTGAGGGGTAGTATATATAAAGAATTTGAGATGTACTAGAAACATAGTTGGTTAAAAATGAATTGATGGACAGGACATGAAGCCAGGGAAAAGTATTAAGTAAAGCTTAATATTGCAAGATCAGATGACAGTGTATCCTGTTAGATCAACATTTTGTCCCTGAATGCTGCTTGACGCATTTCCATATTTGAGGATTATTATCTAAATAAAATGAGAGTGCTTTCTATTTGTGTCATAAAATGGCACATAAAGGCAACCTTCTGCAAGATTTCTTCCTGGGAAGACATCTCCAGTTATGGGGTACTTCCTCTCACAATATCCATCTGGGCAAAACAAAAACTTGGAGAGTAGATTTTGTAAACTCTAATTGTGTTAATAATTAGTTAAATAGTTGATTAGTTAAATTAGTTATTACAGTATTTGAGTTAGAAGTTTATTGCTTGAAATTTAATTCTGCTTTGCAAATCTCTTGAAATCACCAATTTGCAAGTCATTTGAAAGAGAAACATTTACAAAAAAAATCCATGTGTAAATGACTAGTATTTGTTTAGCTGGCCAACTACTAAGGAAAGTAAGAACGTTATCAACAGACTAAAACAGCAAATAAAAATATTAGTGTAATAAAAACTATTTTCTGTGTCAACATTTTTGGTAAAAGCATTTAAAAAACATTGATATAAAATATTTTCAAGTTTTATGCTTCCTTTCAAATCTAATCACTAATAATTTTTTCCTCTATTGTTTTTCCCTGGTAAGATTCTATGATAGCCTCAAGAGACTCAAAAAAGAATGTGCTCTCCTGCAGGTGATACAACTTGTTAGTCTCTTTTCTTCATAGAAGATTTTTTTCCTGCACAAAGTAAACCCCAAAGCTATTTCTAACCTCATTTAATCCTTTCAATACCTTGATAACCTGCCCTGCAGTATTTTATCTTTATCACAGTCATGAAAGAAAGTGCTTTGGTCTGCAACTTTTCATGGGAACAAAATTGCACCTCAGACTTGGGGTTTAAGACATGACACTGTAATGTGTGAACCGTGAATTATTGAAAAAGTAAAGTAATCCTGAAACAGAGTCTCTTTTCCAAAGGCAAAACTTCAGTCCAGGTTTGCAGGCCAGTTACTCTAAACATCAAAGCCAGCCAAAACATGACCTGCAGGGAGATGAGTCAGGATATCTCAGGTCACTTCCTGACAAGATTTGTATTGAATTCAGGTGTAACATGAATTTTTCACTGAGACAACAAAACGCATAGTTGCACATCCATGCTCAATGCCTTTAAATAACTCTTCCTCTCTTACCTCCCATCTAGCTATGGTCCAAGCTAATGACACTACAAGTGGAAAAAAACCCCACCCAAAAATACTCCCCATGACCAAAAATAAGTACACAAAAATCCACACCCCCTCCTACCCTCACACACCGTGAGAAAGAGCTCCTAGAGTTCTGAACCTAGAGTTTTGAAATATTAAGATCAGTAGGTAAACTTAGAGTATTTAATAGACATGTAATATACATCCAAATCCAGTGGATTGAAGGATGCAGGTGGTCCATTCCCTCGCGAGCTGACTGAGAGGATCTGCCCTAGTCCCATTTCCAGGCCTCACCAGGAACCTAATCTCTCATGAACCCTAATCTCTCTGAACCCTAATCTCTCATGGGCACACAAAAGGTCTGTGCAGACACAACTGCTTACAAACAGATCAACAGACAGGAGAAAAGCATTGGCACAGACACCCACTTAAAACAGAGACTGCATGAATAATCACTCAGTCCTTTCTCAGAGCTCTTGGGGAAAAAATCCCTTCCCAGATTCCACCAGTGTTTCACTCCCAGGTGCTCTGTCTGTCTGGGGTCCTGCTATCAGATCCAAAGTCTGCAGTTAGCCAGCTCCAAGACCCTTGGTCTCCCTGCTAACCATCACCCAGACTTCTCCAGGTTGGCAGATAGATTGCCTTGAATTTTGCTACTGGGTCGCATATGCAGAATAGAGAGCACACTCAGACAGAAGATGTTTAAAAATTGAGGTTAACCAGGAGATGACAGGTGATGATCAGCTGCAGGGTTGGTGAGACAAGCACAGTGATCAAGAGCCTGCTTACACATTCCCAGCCTCTTTTATGCCCCTTTCCCCTCATTGCTCAGCATTTGTTCCATCCCAGTTCACTCCTATCTCTTCACTTTTTTCTCTCCATCCCTCTCCAAGTTTCCCCTAGTATGTCCTATCCACCTTTACAGAATCATCCCCTTAGTTTGTTCAGCATTCCTCTGTGGAAGCACCAAAGCAGATTTTCCAGCAGGGAGAAAGGCGTAGCTGTTCAGCATAAAGACTGAGATCTATCAATCTTGCTAGTTATAGTACTTGATACCGAGGGGCTGGGAATCTCTCATTACTGCTTCTCTGATCGCTGCATTCTCTTTGTCTCTATTTTTAACAGCCATTATTCAGGTATCCTTTGTTTTGTCAGCATTTGTCCAGAACAGAGAGCAACGGAGTGCAGGCAGCCTAATTTCATGGTTTTCTTTCTTATTGAAGTCCTCTGCATTTTATATAGTGCGGTTTAAAACCAAACTCCCCCAGATTGCATGATTCTATATGCCACTGAGAGGTTACAAACAGCAGCAAATTAGTGACAGAAAGAGATGTATAATTCAAGATATTATGTAAAGGGAAGTATTAGGTACATGAAAGACTCCAAAAATCTATCTATTTAAGTAGAAACAAGCTGACTCAGCTAATGGTAATACTTAGAAATACAATGGCTATTTATTAAATTCAAAGTCAGCAGAACTTCCTTGAGATGGTTGTAATTTCAAATTTGCCATAGTAACAAACAGAAAATTTGATACAAATACTATATCACACAGAGCACAGTGTGCAAACAATCAATGTGAAGGGATTTTCTTCCTCTTTAAAATTTTAAACGTCTTTTTCACTAGATGTCATGCTTCTGAGCAAGAGAGCATGAACTCACTTCAGATTTATCACAGAATCATGTATTTGTAACTAATACAAGAAAGCAAGCTGAGGAAAAAAAAAAAAAGAAAAGAAAAACTAGTTAAGTGCTAATTCACGTGGAAGATATTAAAGGATTTTATACACTTGATCTAAACCCCAAAGTTAAGAACGAGAAAGAGAAAGGAAATGGTACTAAAGT